TGACGCCATGGCGCTCTAGCCCAGGCAACAGAGTGAGACTCTGTCTTAAAAAAAAAAAAAAAGAAGAAGCCTTATACAAGAAAGTACATTTTATATGATTCCATTTATATAATATAAAATGCTAGAATAGGGAAAACTATGGTGGAAAAATATCAGAACAGTGATTGCTCCCAGAGGTAGTAGTTTCAGGGATTGACTGGGAAGGGGCATACCATATCAGAGGTAATAGTAATCTTCTATATCTTGATAGGGGTTTGGGTTACACAGATGTATGCATTTGTCAAAATTCAGAGAATGTATACTTAGGATTTGTGCATTTTCCCATATGTAAATTTTTATAATTTTTTTAACTGTAAAAAAAATCTAGTCTTCCAAATTGCTTTGATCAGGGTTGGTGGTCTATGGCCTGACAAAGGCTAAGGGAGTATGATATTGTGGAAAGGGGCCAGACTTTAAAAGCAACCAGACAGATTTGAATCCTGGCTTAGCCATTAATTAGGCTGTGTGTCCTTAGGCAAACTACTTAACTTCTCTGTTTCCTTATCCATACAAAGGAGACAGCAGCACAATGCCCAACATATAGTAAGTGTTCCATAAATGGTAGCCAATAATAAATTGACATTTGAGATTATTTCAGGCCACAGGGCCAAAGGTGGTATCATTGCACATCTCACAGACACCATTCCAATCAAGGTGTTAGCCTATTAAGGGCTATCTATGAATCTTCCCTGGGGTATCTGTATTTTGGGAGGGAGGGGGTGGGGATGGGTAAACTCATAACTAATGGGTGCAGAGTGCACTGTATGGGGGATGGGCACGCTTGTAGCTCTGGCTTGGGCGATGCAAAAGATTATATGCAACCAAAATGTTTGTACCCCCATAATACTCTGAAATTTAAAAAAAAGAAAGAAAATAAATTAAAAAGTTGGGGGAAAAAATAACGAAACCTTAAAAGAGTGCCCTCTCTCCCTCCCCAAGGAGTAAATGAATGAAGACTTGAAACAGTGCTTGGCTGATTGCCTCTCAGTTCCCTGAGCTGCACTCACCTCAGGATCTGTGCCTTCTCTGTAGGAGCAAATGCTGAAGGTCATGCCTTCAAATGTGTGGTCCACCCGCAGCACAGCCAAAGCCAACCCAGACACCATCAGATTTGCTGCCCTTCCGGAAAACTCCATCTTGTGGCCAGCACGCTCAATTGTCCTCAGAATTCTGCAAGGAACCACAAAGAAGAGCGTTTCTACCTTTTAAAAGTAAAATCCATCCTCCTTAGAAGATTTCTTCATTGTAAGACTTTTCTTTGAGTTTTAATCACTATCTTTATATCATTTAGGGATTACTAGATAAGAGCTTTGGAATCAGACAGGTTGAGGTCTAAATCTCAGCTCCCCTAATTTCTAACTGTATGGGCAAATAAAATAATCTCACTTCAGTGTACTTGCAACGTCAGAGGTAATACTAGCACTTTCAAAAAGATAGTTTTGAAAATTAAATGAAATTCTTGTATGTCAAGCCAGATCCTGCAGGGCCTCATGGGTCCTTATAAGAAGTTTGGGTTTTATTCTGCATATAATGGAAAGCCACTGAGTGGTTTCAAAAGCAAGAGAATGACACGATCTGATTAATACATTGAAAGATCACTGTGGCTGCTATGTAGAAGGTGACCTACACAGTGCCAAGAGCAGAGTCAGAGAGACCAATAGGAAGTTATTGTAGATAATCAGGTAAAAGATATGGGGCTGAAACTGAGTTGGACAGCATGGGGGAATGGTGGAGATGGAGAGATGTAGATAGATTCCACTGGAGTACTTAAGGGATTTAAAAAATGAATGTACAGGGCCTCATATGAGAGCTGGTTATTGATTGGCTGTGAGCTAGAGGGAGGTCACTTGCACTATTCTCAAGTTTTTCGCTTTAGCACTGGTTGGATGCACATTACAGAAATGCAGAACACTGGGGGAGCATCAGGGTTGGGGAAGTAGATTGAGGGTTTGGATTAGGGTAACTATTTATTTGAAAAGTTGCTATCACTGAGATTCAATTAAAATTTTAATGCATTTTTTTACAATTGGGATTTGAGTAAAATGATCCCATTGCATCTTACTAACAGAGCTTTCAATGTGTAACTACCTGACCTTTAAAATTGGTAGTGACAGTATTTTAAGAAATTAATAATCTAAACAATCATGCCTCAGTATCCATGGGGGATTTGTTCCAGTACCCCTGTGGATACTAAAATATGAGGATGCTCAAGTCCCTGATATAAAATGGAGTAGTATTAATATTTGCATATAACCCATGCATATCCTCCCATATACTTTAAATCATCTCTAGATTACTTATAATATCTAATATAAATGCTATGTAAATAGTTGCTGTATTGTTTAGGGAATAATGACCAAAAAAGTTCTGCACATGTCCAGTACAGACACAATTTATTTTAGAATATTTTCAATCCAAAATTGGTTGAATCCACAAATGCAGAACCCACAGATACGGAGGGGAGGGCTAACTGTATTTTAAATCTTATGAAATAGTTTCTTTTAACCAAAGTATTAACACTTACTCATTGCTTACTTCGTGCAGATCAGAGGCTGACTCATTTTGCTTTTCCAAAACAGCACTGATTATTTCCAATATAATCTGAGTTAGGTTCATACTTATCTCGTCACATTGTGAAATATCAGATACTTTAGAAACGACGATCTTTGTCTCTTCTTCTCCCAGTGGTGGGGATTCATTTATCAAATTTAAAATGTGCTCTGCAACATCATCTGCATTCTCTGGGGAAACAAAGTTGAAACATAAAAGCTGCATTGCTTACTTTTGTGCCATGCTGCTCTGCTTCCTTCCCTTCACCACTGTGCAATGAAAATACATGTCACACGGCCAGGCATGGTGGCTCACGCCTGTAATCCTAGCACTCTGGGAGGCCGAGGGGGGCGGATTGTTTGAGCTCAGGAGTTCGAGACCAGCCTGAGCAAGAGCGAGACCCCATCTCTACTAAAAATAGAAAAAATTAGCTGGACAACTAAAAATATATAGAAAAATTTAGCCAGCCATGGTGGCGCATGCCTGTAGTCCCAGCTACTTGGAAGGCTGAGGCAGGAGGCTCGCTTGAGCCCAGGAGTTTGAGGTTGCTGTGAGCTAGGCTGATGCCACGTCACTCTAGCCTGGGCAACAAAGTGAGACTCTG